ATTTGTGGAAGAGACTTTGCTCTATCGCTGTTTGAGTGCAAGTGGGTACAAACTGAGTTTGCATGCAATTATCCACTGTATGCCATTATGATCCGTCCTAAAAATACGTTGCTGTCAGTAACTGGAAGCGTTTCGCAACCTATTCTGTGTTCATTTCTGCGTTTTTTGTACCCGGACGTTCACTGGAAAAACCGTGATTCACCTTACGATGTGGAGTGAAATAACAGTTAACTGCCCGTCAAATTACTGGTCATTGCTCTTGTTCGGGGGGTTTGCATATTTCTAGGTGTAGCATTGAGTCTTTCCTGGGCAACGTCCTCCACAACATCAATTATCGAATGATTAAAAAACATGTAGGAAAAGGATTTCGTGGCACAAAATAAACCCCATAACAAATAGACAGGGCCCACAAATAACATCTACTGGCCAGCTGGTGTACGACCTATGATTAGATGGAATGCACATCGTCCATTCTGTGTTATGGATTACATATAGGCACCGATCCAATCCAACAGAGGTTACTGTGTCGCCTTCCTCAGAGCCTGGAAGGGTCAAGTTGACAGCAATCCACTCGGCCAAACACCTCTATAACCAAACAAAGAAAACGCTAAACCAAGATTTCAATCACATTTAGCATAGCTCTGCACACTCACCGCTTTCTATGAGTCTTCCACTGAGTATATCGCGTGAAGACCGACCGCACAGAATTCACATGGAAGCGTAATGTGCCCCTCCCATCAGAATAACAGGTTTATATGCTGTCCAATATCACGCGTAATAACGAGGCATTCCTCCTTGCGGTTCATTTTCGGATTCTTGGAATTTGTCCAGAATGCCTCTAGAGTTTCGCGCGCTTGTGTTCTCGATTCTTGCGCGAGGATCGTAACCCTTACTTCAAAATCTTCTCCGTTATGTTTCTGCGTGCTATGCGTACCTAGTGGAGTACTTACGCTTTACAAGAGATCAGATAGACTGTACCCGAACTCATGCAGTCACCGTCTCTACCATTGGGGCAAATTATGCAATTTTGCGTTGCACATAGACGGTCGTATAGGCGGTTGCGAACTAGCGGGTGCCTTAGATTATTCGGTGGTATTTCGATTATCGTTACCGAATTCTCTAGACTGGCCCTTCTTAAACAGCGTTTTATAGTTGCACTTACTTTATTTGAAATAAAGGGAATCCGGAAGTGTGCGGGGACGAATACGTTGGCGAAAAGGGTAGACCACTCTGCGTACGTATAAAAGAACACCTAGTCGGCAAACGTAAGCTAAGTACTCCACTAGGTACGCATAGCACGCAGAAACATAACGGAGAAGATTTTGAAGTAAGGGTTACGATCCTCGCGCAAGAATCGAGAACACAAGCGCGCAAAACTCTAGAGGCATTCTGGATAAATTCCAAGAATCCGAAAATGAACCGCAGGGAGGAATGCCTCGTTATCACGCGTGATATTGGACAGTATATAAACCTGTTATTCTGATGGGAGGAGCACATTACGCTTCCATGTGAATTCTGTGCAGTCGTTCTTCACGCGACATACTCAGTGGAAGACTCATAGAAAGCGGCGAGTGTGCAGAGCTATACTAAATGTGATTGAAATCTTGGTTTAGCGTTTTCTCTGTTTGGTTATGGAGGTGTTTCGCCGAGTGTATTGCTGTCAACTTGACCCTTTCAGGCTCTGAGGAAGGCGAAATCCGCCAAAACGTCAGTTTGGGCATAAGTAAAATAAAATAGCACCTCGTGTTTGCTGAACAGAAGTAGAAAGATATATACAAAAATCTTTGTTTATAAAATACTGAGCTTGCACAAGGTCGATAATAATGTTTATTTCGGCTAATATTTCGACGACTTCGTTTTTATCAGAGCCGACGGTCGGAGTCGATGGTCCACGGTTGTTCTTCTTCTCGAGGTGGTATCCTCCCAATCGTACCGAAACGGATCTTCTGGTAAGTGGAACACCACACGAATGAGGTGTGCTCATGCGGCAGTGCTCTTTAACACAAGGCGGTTGCTGTTGACGCTACTATCCGTTGATAATAGTTTGTTTTTCAACAGATAATCCACCATGTGGCAGTCGGTATTATTTTAGCTACCAAAAAGCGAATAGCAAAACAATTTCCAAACTGACTGTCATTTCACCTCAGTAGTAAAATAACCTCTGGGCAAAAATCATAGTTGTCAGCGTTACAACAACTATGACTGATCTTCTAGTTTCATGAAAATCGCTTCTTTAGAAATCCTTATTTGTTGGACTGCATTAGCTATATGTTAAAGCCTTTCAGTGAAATCTCAACAAGCATCGATCGATTACAGATATTCAAATACATAGATGACTGCTTTGTCATTTGCTCAAGACAAGAGGAAATGGACAAATGTTTTGAGTTACTGAATGAACAGTCAGAGTATATTAGTTTCACCAGAGAGAAACAGTAAGAAAACTGGCTTCTATTTCTGAGCGTGCAAATTAACCTATCAGAAAACGACTACATTACGAAGTGGTACCGAGAGCGAAATAGTAAAAACATACTCGCTCACTATCTCTCCACTCTCAAAGCATTCTGGATTAATTCCAAGAATCTGAAAATGAACCGGAGGGAGGAATGCATCATAATCACGCGTGATATTCGCCGGGATTTAAACCTGTTATTCTGATGGGAGGAACACATTACGATTCCATGTGGACTCTGTGCGGTTGGTCTCCACGTGACATATTCCGTGCAAGACGCATAGTAAGCTGTGAGTGTGCAAAGAAGCCGTTCTGTTCTGTATTCAACGTGATTGAAATCTTGGTTTAGCGTTTTCTCTGTTTGGTTATGGAGGAGTTTAGCGGGTAGATTCCAGTCAACTTAACCTTTCCAGGATCTGAGGAAGGCGAAATCCTCAGAAACGTCAGCTCGTTCTTGAGTAAAGAATAAGATAACACCTCCCGCTTGCTTGACAGGAATATCAAGAATTCAAATCTGTGTCAAACCAAAAAACCGGGAAAAAATGTGGACATATACAGGCTCTTTGTTTTTGCGATAAAATAATTCAATAAAGTTCAACTTTTTATTTACTTCCAATTATTTTCCATGGCGAGGTGTTATGTGGTTTCACATAATACGCTGCCTTGAAAAAAATAACAGAGGAATAATGAAAAGTGAACCATTGTTATTTCGACTGTATCTTCAGGTTAACTTGCTACAGTGGTGATTCGTGGTCCCCAGATCATATCCGTTGACGGGTGCTTGCTGCTAGCAGCGTTAGAGTAAAAAAAGCACTGGCCAACAAAAAAGCAGAGCAAACGCTTTGGTGGTGAGGTGGGTAGCACGTCAGCAATAGGGAAGAGTAATCGCAGGTTCAAATCCTGCCTAGGGTCCAAGTTTTGCAAATACCTCAGCGTTATAGTGGTTGTATTTCATAGCATACCCCGCTACAAAAATAATAATAGGCAGTAAGTAAGAAGTAAAAATTGTGATTTCGACTGCAGACTCAGCTTTACTGGGTTTAATGCCGATTTGTGCTCCCCAGATCATTCTCGTTGATAGGTGATTGCTGATGACCCCGTTAGGTAGAAAACTGGATGAGAGAAAGGCAAAGCGAGGGCCTCATTAGATCTGTGTGTAACACGTGAGCCTCCGGAAAGGGCAATCACAGGCCGGGAGCTGGCCTATGGTTCCGAGTTTTGCAAAATCTAGTCTCTTGTATTTTTCTTGTAAAAGTCTTGCATCATTATTCAGCAATGGATTACCTAGTAGAATAGCATGCACAATACTGTTGGAGCAAACGACAACACGATTTTGTGGTTCTCGACGAGCACGGCGATGGCGAAATTTGATGAGGTGGAAAACACGTCAAAGCCGCCAAACATCAGAAATCATAGGAAAAACTTCTTGCGAAAGAAGACACGTTGAAATTTGAATGATGTTAAAATTACATGGCGGCTTTCAAGACCTAGAAGGAAGAATACGGAAGCACTATGATTAAGGAAAGAACTTCGGGATGAAAACTCTCTAGCACAAACGTGAAGGTTGAAAGATCGGAATTGCTCCTGTTTGAGAAGACCATCATGAAACTCGCTCGGTATTCATGAAACTACCGATCGCTTTTAATAGAAGAACAGCATAGCGGTGGAAAATATTGGAAGCACAATGGCTTGACATAGTTCTGTCGATGTTCACCTCAATTTTGGTCACCATGAGAAAATCTTTCGCCGTCGGCTATCCCGTTGTACACTGAAAGCGCTAATCTGATTGCGAAGACGAACCAAAAACCAGAGCTAATGTGAAGAACTGCGAGAGACATCGATCCATATAGGAGTCCACTTAACTGAGATGATGATCACTTAATTTAAGAAAGATGCTGAAAAAGAACAATAAGTAATTTTGTAAAAGTAGACTGCTGACATGGAGATTAATAGCACAATTCGGCCAAGCGTCAAATTTTTATAGGCGTTGTGAACGAGCGAATGGAATGAAGATTGATGTGTTTGATGGAAAGAAAACAATCTCGGACCTTATGACAACGATAACTATTTCAATGACGGTGACTGTGGAGTGAGTAGGATTTGCGCTTCCCAGATCAAACCCGCTGACGGGTGATTGCTGTGGCAAAAAGATCCATAGAAATAGCTGAGAGACAGGCGAAACGAAGGACCCGCATGGTGTGGTGGTGAATGCGTTACTCCCCGGAAAGGATAATAGCGCGTTCGTTCCCCACCATAGACACCTGCGGTATAGAGTTTTGCAAATATCTCGGCAACGTTGTGGTTGTATTTCGCTTAGTAACCTGCCATGAAAATTATAGAAGGCAGAAAACAAAACATTAAACAATAAGATTGGAATTCAACTGTAGGTTTGGAAGATTACACAGGAACGAAATCAGCAGCGGTCAAAGAGACTTTTAAATGGGAATAGTTGCAATTCTCGAAGACTTCTGCCGAAGAACGATCACATAGCCGTCGAGCATTGTAAAGTAGCACGTCGAGCGAAGATTTACTGGAAACCGGTCGACTTCAATTAGCGCTCGACATCACTGTCTGATAGCAAACGAGAGCAGGAATTCGCCACGACAGAGCGACGCCTGCGATCGTGAATCGCTCGCTTCATCGGGTGTTCGTCGGAACGCGAAAGCTCATCGCTTCTGTTGCTAAACGGCGGACGGCGACCACTGCGCGTCTTTCCATCGATCACGCTGCTCTCGGGACCAAAGATTGCTGCGCGCAGCATTTGTCCAGGCTCTCGCCCACCCGTACGTTCATCCATTCATCTGAGGGTCTATCACAAGTTATAACCTTAACTTTCATTTCGTACGTAATTCTATTCCTGTATTCTTTAAAAGAAATTTCTCTTCGGATGGAAATTGTTTTAGCGACCACACGAAGTTGTGGTGAGTTTGACCATTCTTCAGCATTATTCGATATATATTATATATTCTATATTAATTACATCTCATTACTTTCTTATTACATGGCTCTACATCGCATTTGTCAGATTGTCCGAAACCCAGCGCTATTTGCATTCGATTCGTTTTCTCGTATCGACCGTCCACAATGGTTTTCCAACTTTTGCGTGTGGATACGACTGCTCAGTTCTCCATGAAGTTGTGTGATTGCTGTGCTAAAGCGTTCCCATGTGTATTAGAAGCAGTCCAGTTGCTCTAGACAAACTTCGTAGCACTTCTCCGACCCGAAGGGATGAAAGGTTGGGTGGCCCAGCAACAGGGCCGAACCAGCACGTAGATGGATTAGGCCGCCCGCGTAGTGAACGGGACCACTACTAATGCGCTATTCGCTCCACACATTAGTGTATATAAACGTCTAAATAATCGATTGAGTCAAAATTTGACAAAACGGTCTCATCTAGGATAAAACAGTAATCAAGGCAAGGAAATTATAATTATGTTGAAGAAATTCAAGTTATTTAACATGATGTTTAAATTATTGAGCTTGCATGAGGTTGATAAACTAGCTTTATTCGGCTAAGGTTTCGACGTCTTCGTCTTCATCAGAGCCGATGATCCGAGTCGGTGGTCCACAGTTGTTCGTCTTCTCTATGTGGCTTCTTCATCGCGTGCCGAGTGAGACCTTCTTCAGGAGAACACCGCTGGACTGAGACAAGCCCTTCTGCCAGCGGCATTCATATCAACAACAATCATCCTGTATAAAAGAATCCACGTCGACAGGACGAACACTGTGGACCATCGACTCGGATCATCGGGTCTGTTGAAGACGAAAACGTCGAGACTTTAGCCGAATAAATCTATTTATCAGCCTCCTGTAAGCCTAACGATTTTGTTGATTATTTTACTACTAGGTTAAATGACGGTTGGTTTGAAAATTATTGTGTAGCTTACTTAGTTGCCAAATATTCGTCAAATCAAATAATTTACGTACTTGCGAACTTAGCCATTCTACAGTATATTTAACTCGTGTTGTCGAAATTACTACGACAACATTGGGTCAAACTAAATTTCGAGCAGATCTGAAGTGTAGCAAGATGTTGACAGCAGTGTGAGACGTATTCGACTCATACTCATTTCATTGTTTCTACATTTACATGCATTTGAAGGCCTGCTTTGAACTTGTTATTCATCTAATCATCCAATCCATTTACTTCCCTATATCAGTTTTTCATCTACAGACATGTGAAACATGGTAGGGTAAAAAAAAGTCTTGTTTCATCGTATCGGCACAAAACTTAACTAAATTCCCAAGACCGACTTTCTGTTAACCTCGGCATTAATTGATAATTCAATGTTTTTCATCAATAAGCAGACACGAGGTTGTTAATATTAACAACCTCGTGTCTGCTTATTGATGAAAAACATTGAATTAACTAAATTCCTCTAGGCCGTTAACAGATAATATCATAAGTACTAAGATGATCAAGAATGGTGTAGATAACCGCCCTCATTCAGCAAAAGGTTTAATCAATTTTGTTATGCTGAATCCTAACGTAATGTATTCTCTGTCCTTTCGCAACGAATTAGGCCTGTTACGTCGTCTTCAAGTGCTTTGTCTACTAATCGCGGAAATCGGTGCCGTTCTGAAGGATTCCTAGTTTTGAATCTGCCATCTGCCTAGGACTTAAAGGACCACCGACTTCCAACAAAGAGGGCATAATAATGCCGTTACACAAAAAAGTCAGGGTTTTCGAGGAAAACCTCGTCAATCAACGGTCTACGCGTCAGTGATGAGAAACCCTGACGGGTTCTTAAGTCACAGGAAAATCCTCCCACTCAATGCGACCACTTCCTATGAATAGCAATTGCAAGACAACAGAACTTTCTAATCTATGATATTGGCGTGCATAGGTGCACTTTGGACAGAAAGGCAACGACGTGTCCTCGTCGATAGACAGTGAAGTGGTTTCGCACATCGACGGTGAAATGATATGCACAGTTGCAGAAACGAAACATACGAATTGAATGAAGACACAACAAGGGTAAGGAATAGGACGACGAGATGCTCGGTTGCCGAATTATAATGGATCGGTTGAAAAATAGCTAGCATGTATAGCAAGTGGAACTTGTTGTTTTATTCTGTATACTCATTAATCTTTTGTATCCAAAAGATGCAAAATCAAGGTAGATTTTTCAAACATGTGAGCTATTTCCAGCGTGTTAAATGATAGATACGCGTAGCCGAACTTTCAGGAGATTTTCGTCGTGTTGAACTTGAGTGGGCTTTGATGTGTCACTTGTTCGTATCTCGCTTTCTTGGTGAGGCTCAGAAACAATCATTGGATTACCTGTCGGATTACGTGTTACTATTATGCTTTCATCAGTTGTGCTTCTAGCAGTGGTCGCAACGTTCTTGTTATCAAGATATCTTTAATTTTTTGTTATTTTACATTGCTTGCTATCACATCTACTGTGCGGATCCCTGCACTTCTTGCATTCAATCTGTTTTCGTCGCACTCATCGTCCACGATCAACCTTGGAGCGATGGAAGGCTTGCTGAGCTCAGAATGTGACAGCGAACCAAATGTCTTGTTACTTTTTTCCGACACAATCAGGACAAATTTTTCGATATCAGAGGGATAACAGGTTTGGTGAGCTTGGTGTGGGATTGAACCAGCACCGTGCTCGTGATGGTCGGCATCACTACCATTGTGCTATCCACTTCTTGTAAAATATGATGTTACATCTATAAATATGTTCTACGAACTGCCCTTGTTAAGCTGATGCGAGCTTGGGATAAGTTATCGTTATTGTTGTTGCTATTATTGTTCCTCGATGGCTGACGTCCCAACGATCTCGACATGATCGGTCAAAATTTATTGCAAAGCAAAAGCCTCTAAATGGCCTCGAAACGTTTTCTGGATTTTCCCATGGATTTCTTGCAGTCGTTTTCTCTTCAGCGTATTTAGAAGCGATGACATGTTTGTACCACTGCCACGTAAGGCATCCCCTTGATCGGTAGAACAACTTTCTGCATTACACAAAACTGAAACTCCACCCAGTTTGTAATGGCGACAATCACTTCCCTTCCAGAAAATTTTGCGCAAACTCAGTTACAAGCATAACTTTACGAATTCGAGAAACAGATTTCTTTTAGTGAATGAATGTTATCGATTTGTTAACATCGGTTTTGCGCGAAATCAAAATGCTCTGTCACTGCTATCACATTGACGGCGAACTGTTTCTTACAGCATTTCCAATGTGGTCTTTCGTGCCTTCATCTCCGCTGGGTTTAAATTTCGATTATATGGCTCCGGCTATAATTCTTTTACTGTTCTTGATTTTTGTGCTGATCATTGATTTATGAAATGTTTGCTCCAACTTCTGTTTCTCACCTTAGTCAAGAGATATTAGTAGCAGAAAGAAAAACAAGAATACGCTTACTCCTACTTGTTCCTACTTAACGTTAGGGTATGGTGAACGAGCAGCAGGAGCACCAGCAGCAGCAGCAGCAGCTCATCGCTTCCGAGGCACCTGCTGAGCCGGCACTGAACGCCACACCTCGAAACGTTCGCAAACCGGAGGATGTTCTCGATCACCTTGGTTGGCAAAAATCACCGCTATGATATGCAGCTTGTGTGTCCTAACGACAATACCACATGAGCTGAACCAGTTTCCCTTGCAGGTGCTCGACACCGACGACTGGTGCTGGCGATCGTGTCGTGCAGTTTTGTATGGTGTTTCGGTGCAGTGTCGATTATGGAAAGTGCCTTTGTGTCCATCGATTGCGGTAACTGCACTGACAGTATGAAGACCATCGTCAGCGAGGTAGTCATGATGGCATTTTGAGAATAGTT